GGGCACCAGAGCCCCACACTTCCTTCTCCCTCTCAGAGCTTGAACAGCCATGAACAACTGATACCTGGCATCCCGACTCTGGGAGGGAGGGGGAAGAAAGGGGAATGGAGTGCGAATTAGCAGATTCGCGGTGCTCTGAAAGTGCAGGGAGGAAGGGACGGAGTAGAAAGTGCAGGGCTCCAGTGCCCCAGTGTGATAGGGGTGTAGATGGGGGAGATGAGGTGCTGTTGGCCCACGGGTGGAACCCCAGTGGCCACGGGCTACTGCTAAGGTGAGGTAGGGCCACTCATATGACCCTCCCTCCTTCCTATTTTTGGTTGTTCATCGCTCATATACATGCACTTCTAGACATGGCTCTGCTGTACAGAGCTATAGGTTCCGCTTCAGATCCTGGTCTTTGTAAATCTGGACCTTTTTCTATAGGTGCAGTACATTGCTTGTTAGATAGCTACAAGATTATCTTAAAATATTAGGAACATGGGGGATGGGAGATCTGTTTGCCTGCATGATTCCCTCATTGTATGAATTGGTACAATGGTAGACTGACAGCAAGCCAGCGAGGGAGGAAGATTCTGGGTTTCAAAAGTAATCCCATCTTTCTTCAGAACATCTGACTCTCTCCCTGCACCCTTCCTTGGGTGGGGGCTAATTTACCCTTTTAGATTGTCAGTTATCAGCAACAAAACTATGGATGTTCCCTTTTACCTCCGAAGTCCCTCCGTCTTCCCAGGCAGGAGGATCTCCTTTTTTTTTTTTTTTTTTTTTTTTTTTAAAAGCTGCCCCCTCTTCGCGGCGAGCACCAAGAGCTGAACTCATCAAACAGTGTCAGGTGGCCGGTTGCCTCTGCAAGTAGAGTGACCTGCTAATAGCCCGCTTGTGCTTTTTCTTCCTTTCTGTCCCACAACAGGTTGTTCTGGAGCGAACGTAAAATAACCAAGGCCCGAGAATGGTTCCATCGGACAGTGAAGATAGATTCAGACCTGGGGGATGCCTGGGCTTTCTTTTACAAATTCGAGCTCCAGCATGGCACTGAGGTAAGAGTATCTCTCTAGAGAGAGAGGCCGTGATCTCCTGGGGAATGGTGTGGTCTCCCTGCCCACCCTCTGCTGGCTAACAGGATTGGTTTTGAAGCCCATAGACACGGTTCATTAATCAGCAACAGGAATCCACGACGAGTCATTCAGAACGCCCTGTTCGTGCAGAGTGTGTGTTGTCTCCACAGCGCGCACAGCCTCAGGAGCCTGAGCCTGCGTTTGCTAGATAATTATGAGCAGTGTGACTTAAAACATGATGGTTTTAAATAGCGGCATTGTTAGTAGATGGAATTACTTTTTAGATTTCACCTTGAGAAATTGGCAAGCAACTGCCTTTATTTACAAAAGGAAAATGTAAACCCACAAATGACTTAATCATTTTATGAATCCAGAACCTTTCAGTGCAGCTGGCTCAAGGCGCTAAACAAAAGTATGTAGCTTAACAGACAGTTGTAGGTGGCTGGGAAACACTTGTGTACAGGTTTAGTGTTTGATTAGAGATCAGAGCAACCTTCTGACAAGTGGATCCCCATCTGTTTTTCCTTTGTGGTTCTGCCACTAACTCTTCTATGTGGTGCTCCAAAGATATTTCCACATCAGGAATCAGTGTCACACAAGCCATCATAAACAACACAGTTGGCAGCCCCTCTTTGCCATCCACAGTCACATTAACTGATATAAAAATGGTATGACACCAACCTTCATTCCTCCAGACATAAGCCATCCACTGACTGCTTGGGGTTAGTAAGAAGCTTCCCTATAGTTGTTGGGATGGGGGCTTACACCCCCTCCTCTGAAATACCTTTATGGGCTGTGATTGGAAACAGCAAACCAGATCTCACAGACCCTGGTTCCAATCCAGTGTGGCAGTTCCTATGTAATGCTTACGAGAAGTCTGGTACTGAGCTGATGTGAGACTGCTCAGTTTCAGGGAGATCAGTCGTCCTCAACATGCTTGATGTGTCAGTAACACGAAGAAAGAATCCACCATCCTTTCTTTGTTCTGCCGGAGCTGTGAGTAGGGAAACAGTTCCCTTGGCTGGCAGTCTAGAGTATACTAAGTCTAGGCAATAGAACAATGTATTAGATTCTCAGCTCAACAAAGTGTCACTTTTTGTGGGTTCTCTCAAAACAGATCTTCGATTCACATTAAAGTGCAATTATGTGAAGTGTGGGAGCAAAGGTAGATGGTGATGTGACAGTGGGGGGGCTGTCTGCTCTGTAACCAGGGGTTCCCCTGTGCTGTGATGCGTGATTCTCACTGACTCACCCACATGTGTATTGGCCCAGACACCTAATCCCAGCGTGAGCAGATAACACTGCCCTTCCCAGGGGGAGAGACAAGGGAGGAAGGCGGAGATGAACACCTGGCTGGGGGGCAGGATCTGAGAACAAGGCAGTTTCTGGCTAGAGAGCATGAAGGAAACAGACTAAGCTGGGTGCTGAGGATGGGGGGGGGCAATGGACCCCCTAACCCAAGGGGTCTGAGGCATCCTGGCCTTGACTCCTGTAACCACATCACGTCTATGCTGTTGTATCCTCGAGGAGCAATAAACCCCCTCTATTCTACTGGCTGGCAGAGTCTCTTCTTGTTGCTATGGGGCTGCAGGATCGGGGGGAACCCAAAATTTGTGGTAGCCTATTGAGCCTCTTTGTGAAGCCGAACAGTGACTGTTGCTGCCAGTCTATAACCTCCATTTATTCATAACCCTGATTCCCACTTTTAAAAATGGCTTGTTTAAGCTCTTGACTTTCAGCACTAGGATCAGCGGATCTTCTTGCTCAGTCCCAGCCTGTTCTTTTTGTTTCACTGTAGGAGCAGCAGGAGGAGGTGAAGAAGCGCTGTGAGAATGCTGAGCCCCGCCACGGAGAGCTGTGGTGCGAGGTGTCCAAGGATATCGAGAACTGGCAGAAAAAAATTGGAGAAATCCTTGTACTTGTGGCAGCCAAAATTAAAAATGCCTTCTAGAGTATGCTGTGAACAGCTGCAGAGTCATCCCCAGAGGACACGGTCCCTTTGTTGTACATAGTTTCAGCACCCTCAGCCTTGCCAGTGACACAACTGCTTGGAGCAAACAAAGGAAGTTGGTGGAACAAACGAAGACCTCTGGTTTTCCAAGAACAATATGATGACTAGAGACAAGCCCTTCCCCTCCTGTGGCAGCCCTTTACACTGCACATTGCAGTCTTTGCTATGGCATAATCAGATGCGTTTGTATCGTAATAACTTCTGTGAACATTGCTGGCGGGTGTCGGTGCTGTGAAGTTTTGCATAGGTGTGGTAGGCATTGTCATTTGGATGTCTGAACCCATTCTGTACATTTGAACCTTAATTCTTACTTGTTCAGTTTCTGATGAGTTGGAGCTCCTCTGGTTGTTTTTTTTTTTTTCCCCCTGGCATGAGTTCTCTTCCTGTCAACCAGCCCTTCAGTTTCTTGGTGTTTGGCCCATTTCATGATGGATCTGTCAACAAAGCAGTCTCCTTGATATTTAAGTATAGTGAGGCTTAAAGTAAATAGCGCAGTTGTCACCAACACGCTTGGAATTTTGCGGTGGAAGGGTGTGACCAGCACTTCTTTAACTTTTGAGGTAGAATCCTGGTCATATGTGTGTGGAAAGTCTTTTTAATTAAGCATATTGTGAAATTCAATAACCAGAGCCTATTTTAGTGATATTTTCTGTAAGTTTTAAATATATAATATAAGCATATTCTTTTAATAGAATAATTTCACTGACCACAGCAGTAGTATTAAAACAGGGTATAAACAGCTCAAAGCCCTTTAAAGGAAAAGCCCTTATTCTGAGAGCCATTAAGAAGCCATGTGCTTTAACAGCTGAAGCGGATTTCCAGGAAGGGTGGATATGAAAAACGTCTCAAAGCTCGGTTGGAAAAACTAGCTTGTTGCTCAGATGATCTGGGAGCACATGGACCATCTCTCTTTCTGTAACCCCGTAAGTTGTCTTGGTTCATGAACAAGGTTTTCCTAACCCGGGAGAAGTGCCCTTCTTTTCTGTAAAGGGAGGACTTTCATTTTCTTGGTCCTCCTTGGAGTGAAGAGTCCTCTAGCAGAGAGATTGTCTGTTTTATTCTTCACCAACTGAAAGATACAAATGTCTTCTGCATCCTTTAATAGGATTTGTATATTAGGAATGACTTTTTTTTTTCAAGTCCATTTATCATAAAATTTTGTTTGAAGAAAGCCAGTCACTTTTCTGGTAAACTGTACAGATGTAATGAGATGCTATAAAATACAGCTCTGTCTTACATTTTGCTTTGAATTTTATTTGGCCGCCATCTCCTTCAGTGACTCCAGTCCTCCAGTGACTGTTGCATGGCAAAGAGTTAAGACAGGGTGATTGGATCTGATTAGTGGGTAACCTATGAAAGACCAGCTACTCCTTACGATGCCTGTGTGAAGAATCGGCAAGGAGTCCTGTGGCGCCTTATAGACTAACTGCAGTGTAGGAGCATAAGCTTTCGTGGGCAAAGACCCACTTCGTCAGATGCATGTAGTGGAAATTTCCAGAGGCAGGTATGATGCAGGCCAGATGCAGGCCAGAATCAGGCTGGAGATAACGAGGTGGAGCCAATCAAGGAGGATGAGGCTCACTTCTAGTAGCTGATCTGGAGGTCTGAATTCCAAGAGAGGAGAAGCTGCTTTTGTAGTTAGCAAGCCATTCACAGTCTTTGTTTAATCCGCAGTTGATTGTGTCAAACTTGTTTCTCTTTGAAGTCTGGTCCTGAAGTTTTTTTGCTGCAGGATGGCTACCTTTAGATCTGCAATTGTGTGTCCAGGGAGATTGAAGTGTTCCCCTACAGGTTTGTGTGTCCAGGGAGATTGAAGTGTTCCCCTACAGGTTTGTGTGTCCAGGGAGATTGAAGTGTTCCCCTACAGGTTTGTGTGTCCAGGGAGATTGAAGTGTTCCCCTACAGGTTTGTGTGTCCAGGGAGATTGAAGTGTTCCCCTACAGGTTTTTGTATGCTGCCATTCCTAATATCAGATTTGTGTCCATTCATTGAAGCAGTTAGCTCCACGGCAATAATTCTCAGCCCTGAAAGATGGTTCTGAGACAAAGGTGGAGCAACGCCTCCTTTCCAAAGCAGAGCTAAGTGTTTCCTCTTGCTTGTGTGTCAGGATCTTCAAACCTCTCTGGCTGCTTGGCTGAAGCACATCTGTCTTCAGAAGTAGTATTCCCAGGGGTGGTGGTCTCATACGCTTAGTCACTATGACCTAACCATACCTCTAAGTTTACACACCTAAATGTGGGTTGACGCTGATCATCTGTGTGTATCTTGTGACTTTCTAAACAAGGCCTTTAATTTTAGATACAGGCTGTCCTTGCTATAAGTCCAAGATACGTTCCAAAGAACTTGGACTTACAGCGAAAGCAACTTAAAGCAGGGAATTTTTTTCTTGCGGCTGGCTGACTTCCATTTGCGCAAATAGGGGTTGTTTGGGGTTTTTTTACATGACTTAAGAGCGGGGAATGGGAGGAGTTGTAATGCATTAGTTCCTACAAGCGTCAACAACTTTAGTGTGGAATGGATGTATACCGGGATGACTTATAGCGGGGGCGCCCTGTATTCCAAGCATGAACCCAGGTGTACAGAGTCTTTTCTTCTAAACCTGTCTACCACGTGAATTTTCATTTAAAAAAAATGAATACATTTAAATGCATTTAATAATTTTTTACATCTGTAGTGTTTTGGATGTTGCTCTGGAAGTGTCCTCTGGCCTGTGCCCTGCTGAAGGAGCTTGCACCAAGCTCTTCAGGTTTAAACAGCTTTTCAGGGGACTTTCTGCAATGCTTTGTGCTGTCCGAAACATGTAGGAGGAAGATAGCTATTTATTTCTTGTACTAGGATAGCCCTATCCTGGACTCCAGGCCTCGGCAACGTGCAAAGACAAAATAAGGTCCCTGCGCCCAAAAAGTTCAGAATCTGTTTGAAATTTCAGTTGAAACCCAAAAGTGACTTGCCCATGTGGCTCCAGGGACAGGTCAAAAAGCATCATCTTAAGGTCTCAGAGGGGTAGCTGTGCTAGTCTGTGACTTGAAAAACGAATAGTCTTATGGCACCTTAAAGAGACTAACATGTATATACAGCCGCTCCCCGAGTTACGACCCCCTCCACTTACGACCATCCACACTTATGACCAAAGCGGTCGTAAATGCGGATCCGAGTTACTAACGGTGAGCCGCACTTACGAACAACGCAGTCGCCATGTAACTCTATGGGATCCGAGTTACGAACACGTCGAGTTACGGGGAGCGGCTGTAGTATGAACTGTTGTGGGCAAAATCCACTTCTTCAGACAAGATGATCTTGAGTGGAGAGGGGAAAAAAAGGGGACCCTCAGAATAAGAAGGGAGAGGGGGAGAAAAATATTACCTGTCAATTGTAGTGCCTGTGCTAATGAGGCTAATTGAGTGGGCTGGAAATGTTCTGTACTTAGCTTTTGATGTCAATAGGATGTTGAATGTAAGGAAAGCTGGTGTGATGTTATGTTAACCAGTTCGAGTCTTTGTTCAGGTCCAGGGAGACAGTGTCAAATTTGCATGAAGGTAAATTCTGCACACTCTGTAGTTGGCTTGTGAAATTCCTTTGTAGAAGAATGGCTACTTTTAAGAACATAAAACCAGCTAGACTAGGTCAGACCAAAGGTCTATCTAGTCCAGTATGCTGTCTTCTGACAGTGGCCAATGCCAGATGCCCCAGCGGCAGTGAACAGAACAGGGAATCAATCAAGTGATCCCTATCCTGTCATTCATTTCCAGCCTTTGACAAGCAGAAGCTAGGGACACCATTCCTGCCCATCCTGGCTAATAGCTATTGATGGATCTAACCTCCATGAATGTATCTAATTCTTTTTTGAACCCTGTTCAACTCCTGGTCTTCACAACATCCTCCGGCAAGGAGTTCCATAGATTGACTGTGTGCAGCATAAAAAAAGACTTCCTTTTGTTTCTTAAACCTGCTACCTCTTAATTTCATGTAGTGACCCCTAGTTCTTGTTATGGGAACAAGTCGAACTTTTCCTCCTTCACCTTTCCCACAGCAGTCGTGATTTTATAGCCCTCATAACTTTGAAAACCACCATGATTTTAAGTCCATTGAGTGCCCAGCCCCCATAAGTGCCACTGTGAGAAAAATCGCACCCTCTGTGTTTTACCAAGTGCCATAGGATTTGATTCCCCAGAGTGGCTCTTTTCCCGGGAGTTTGCACTGGGAAGCAAGTGATGGCACCTTCTCCAGCTCCAGCTTAAAATAAGTTACAAGAGGGGTGGGTAACCTGCAGCCTCATGTGACCCAGTGGGGTTCTATTTGTGGCTCAGTGCAGCTCTATTTGTGGCCCATGTGCAGACTTGCTAGATTCCGCTGGTTTCCAGCCTCACGTTTGTTTGTTCCCCCTCTTCTCTCCTCCCCCCTTACTCCTATTACTAAAGTGGCAGGGTAGCAAAGGCACCAGAAGTGAGGTGGGTGCTGAGTGCGCAAAACCTTGTGAGCGCTGCCTTCCCTGCAAACTCTAGGTCATCTGTGCCAGAGCCTCTTGGTTCCAGCCACCCGCGGCGAGGAAGGAGGAGGGGAACCTGCCTTGATTCGACTCCCTGCCCCGGCTGGAAGGGGCTGCTTCCCTCTTCTCCCCCCCCTTTCCCCGGCTCTGGGAGGGCAGGTGGAGCGCTCCCGCTGGGCTAAGTGGGTCGGACGGGTCTGGGGGCGGGGCCGGAGGCTGCAGCTCTCCCCTCCCACTGGGTCCTGGAGCCAAGTTCAAACGCCGGGACCCAGCTGGCGCGGCCGGGGCGCGGGTTGAGCGGGGACCCCCCTGCGCCGCGCATCCTCCGAGGGGCTGGAAGGGGCCATGCCGCGCGGCGCCTCGCCTCCCCGCCGGGCATTCGCAGCT